TTGTATGAAAAGAATATTAAAGAGTCACAGAACTCGATATAATAATTTATGCAGAACAAGCAGCTCTTGGAATATCTAAATTACCACCTTAAACACCCACATATATCCAATGGTTCACATGTATTTGGGAACATAATCTCTGTCCATGACTTCTCTGTCCATTTTTCATGATCCTACACCAGTGTTATTTTAGTATGATACTATCATTGAGATATTACTGTAGTTTTTAATTATAGTTTAAACTAGTTTTCATTTTTGGATTGTTTTCATTTTTTTCTCTTTTGCCATTTTGGTTGACTATAGCTGACTATAATAAACTTGCCCTACACCACAGTTTAACTCACAAAAATTAGTGCTTTAAATCAAGGGGTTTCAAAACTGGGGGCCATAAGAAAAGGCAAATATACTAGATACTCATGTTAACAAGTCAATTATGATTATTGAGAATAAGTGAAGACTCATAATACAGGGTACATAACTCTCAAATCAGCCTTTTTCTAGCTCCTAACTTTTCCTAGACAAGTTATTATAATCAGAATGTCAACTTGATTACATGCTACCAAGTTCTAATACTTTTGTTTGTGTCAAAGAGCACCAGACATAAACATTGCTAAATGCAAAACTTCTCACATAGTATTCTTTTCTTATTGATGCAGTTCAACCAGGTTTTTTCTTTGATTTGATTTGATTTGTTTTGTTTTATTGCATTTTTCTACAATTTTTGCTGGTGTCAAACTGACTCAAAACAGAAAGAACATTTCTAAAAAACAATTTCTGGAAAACAATCATCTTGATGAAAAAAAAAAGTCATGTCTACTTTGTGGCATAATGCTGGGGGTTTTGATTAGTCTGGAGAAAAAAGTAAATTTCAACACAATATAAAGATTAATCATTTAAAAAAAATGTATCAGAAATCTCTAACTCAGTTTGTTCAATGTTGGCTTTACACTATTACCACACTGCCCAAGACTATTTTTGTTATACGTTCATTTATTGTAAAGTAAAGGCAGTTCACACACTAAAACTCCATAGCAACTACTACACACTCCACAACCTTGCTGTCCACTCTGAAAAAAACATCTTGCATCAGGCCTACCGCCCCTGGACCCCTTTCACTCTCCATTACTTCAAACTTCTGTGTGACAGCCTCCAGACTCCAGTAACAAAGCAATTTAGGCTGAGAGGAAGAATGCGGCTCTGAAGATGTAATTGGTGCGCTGGGCTTTTGGATCTCTAAAGCACAGTGGTGGGGATATTAGCTTTGAGTGTCTCCCCTCACAGGCAGGCCTCATGGTGATGGATTTGGAAGTAATGTGTCCATTCACCTGTGAAATGCAACCAGCCGGTTTACACTGGACCTGAAGATATGACATATTGAGCTGGGATATACAAACAGTCTGACTCTGGAGAAGCAAACACACTGCCAGAGTGTTTGCAGTCAGGTGCACTAGATAAATGCTGTATGGACCTTAAAATTACCTACTGAGAGTGAAACAGAGAGGAGATATTTTAATGCATAGATAAGTGAGTAATTTATGCTACACTAGCATCACTAATGTCAACATAAGTGTTACAGTATATGAAAAAATCTTGTTGAATCTAGTTTGAAACACATGTAAAAAGACAAGAACTACATAGAAGCATACTTTTTATGAAATGATATGCTGGGTTAAACTAACTAAAACCATTTTTGTTTCTATATTTTTTTTTTCAGCTATTTGCGAAGGCAACATTCCTAATTTTGTTTCGTTCAACTTTAATTAAAATAACTAAAACTGAAATTAAAATTAATAAAAGCTGTAGGCATATAGACAAACTATTAAAAGTGACAAAACAACACAATTACTAAAACTTTAAAATTAAAATTAAAACTGGAAATATAAAAATAAAAACTAATTCAAAATATTTTTTTCTGCATGTTTCTGATTTACCATTTAATCAGACTGCAGCGATTTTGATAGTTTAGATATTTCTTATGTATATATTCATTCACAAGTCTGCGAGAGCTGCAGATGTCTGTCGGATGTTTTAGTGTGATTGCCGTTAATTTCTCACTCCACATTTACACAAATCTCTCTGGTGCTTGAATCCCTCATTACAGCTGCATGAGCCCTCAGACAGACATGTACTGCAAACACACTCACATACATGCAATCGAACACAATCACATGAATATCGACCAAAATAAATATATAAATCACAATCACAAGTATTCATATTTGGCTGTCCTCCCAAGGCACTGTTCAACATTATTTATCAAGTGTTTCATTTTTGGGTACAAATACGATTGGCAAATTGTCACAGTTAGAATTCTGTGGAAACTTGCTCTGGGTCGAGGCGCAGAATTAATAAATCATATTTGTTCATACATAAATAAAACTGGATGCAAATAAGCGGGTCTGGGATCTTTGTAAACCAGCAAGAGATTTGCCCCATCAATATTTAAATAGCTCATACACATCAGTCAGACTGAGAAGCTGTGATAGAGTTTGACGGAGAAGACTCCTCGATCACTTGTTATACCTGACTGAATGCTGCGTCTGTCTGAAACCCCATCAACTGACAAATAAGGACTAGCATATATCATCTTATAAATGAGTATGCATCTATTATCTCTTGAGCCACTAAACACACACACCACTATCTCTCTTCATGATCTCACATAGCTGTAATCAAATACACTCTGCAAAACCTGAGAGGCAAATTTTATTTCACCTCATACAGATGATATTATTAGATAAGTCGATCTGAAAAGTAACATTTGACAGGGCTTTAAAACTTCAAAATGTGTAGGAGAGAAATGTTTTAGATGGCATCAAGTATTCCATTTCATCCTAAAATTCAATACAATTGCCATTGGCTAGTACTTTTTATAGTTTATTCGACAGACTATATAGTCAAATACGCTGTGCAGCCAGTGATATCAATAGGAATAATTCGATAAATGTGGTGTAAAGACATGGAAAGTGAAACTCTCAAGCACTCATAGTGTTCACATGTAGCGAGTGAAAATATATCTCTTATTCTTAGCTTCTAACTCAATGATTGGCAAGCTAGACAGTTCAAAATTTATTCGCATATGAGAGTGATTTACTCACAGAGGTTTGCATTCATATATAATTGTTGATGTAAACAAATTAGTTGTGTATGATTAATACAAATGGACATATCCTACAAAAAGTTCAAGCTTGACACTTTCATTAATTAAAAATGTAATTATTTATATCATTTGAGGTAAACATTACAATTATTCTTTTTAGGTGTGATTTAAAAAAATAATGGGGCGGGACAACATTCTTAGCAAGATCTCACCTCATTCTCACCAGTTAATCTATAATCTCTTAGAGAGCTTTTATGCTATGCCAAACTGAGTGAGCGTTTTGGAAAAAAAGTGCAAACGTTCAGGTGTTACCCTCAGGAGTGTGCGCAGCAGAACTACACCCCTGTAATTGAATTTTTCCCTCCTGTAATGAAATGCCACAGTTTGCGTTTTTTATTACAGCATTAGGTCTTTTCCCACATGCCTCTAAAACAAACAGTGATAACAAACAGAGGCATGCAACGCTATTAGCAACAGGTAAACATAACCTGCAGGTGTAGTCACTGCAGGGATTACTGATCACATGTGTGTATGCATTTTCATGAGAATTTTTGCCATTATGTGAACACAGCTGCACTGCCAGAGTTCTTCTAAAGATGAAAATAATGTGGATAAATGCATATTTTGAAGCAGGATTTTAATTTTGAATTGTTTCTGAGCTCTTGAGAGGTCCCATGCTGGAATAAAGAAAGGTTTCCACTTTTAAATCAATCAAATAAAATGACTACACCAATGGATATGTACAGGTGCATCTCAATAAATTAGAATGTCGTGGAAAAGTTGAGTACATGTACAGTAAATGAACATACTTTCCAGAAGGCCAACAATTCACTAAAAATGTTTTTTTATTGGTCTTATGAAGTATTCTAATTTGTTGAGATAGTGAATTGGTGGGTTTTTGTTAAATGTGAGCCAAAATCATCACAATTAAAAGAACCAAAGACTTAAACTACTTCAGTCTGTGTGCATTGAATTTATTTAAATACACGAGTTTCACAATTTAAGTTGAATTACTGAAATAAATCAACTTTTCCACGACATTCTAATTTATTGAGATGCACCTGTATGCAACAGGAGCAGGATCTCATTTGGTTCCATTTCAGTTAGTGACTGATTTCACTGACTCGATTAAGTTCACATCAAAACAGTGGTGATCTCTCCATTTTCTGTCAGCCCCACTTTCAGAAAAGAAGCTCATGCAACAAAAATTTTAAATTTAAGGTCATCTTATGGAGATCAGCAGCACATCAACTTGTTTTCCATCACAAGACAGGCAGAAAACTATTGTATATTAGTTGAAAATTAGTCAACATGGTTTCATTATATTATACTTATAATAAATGAAATCTTAAATGAGAATTAATTCAGGGCCCACAACCCCAACCCCAAAAGCTGCAACACATCAGACAATTAATAACAACCCTTAAATAGCACCACAAAATATTGCATCCATTGGCTATATTAAATGTCAATTCAAGTGCTTGTAAAACTTTTACAGTGTGAGGTCTGTTTCCCAAATAAAACGTTTGTTGGCAAAACAAATTATTGCACAAGTTATATAATGACCAAACTGTACTCTATGCAATGGCAATAATACGACAATAACATCGCTATCAAACCACAAATGTTTTATGAGGATTACAGTAAGAACAACAACGTTGGATATGACATCATCAGCATCCAGATAGGAAAATTAAGAGCAATTTAAAATGCTGTACTATCAAACACATACTTTATTCTCTGTCAAGTAAAGGCAGGATAAAGGTACAAAATCAACTCTTAACATCATTAAACAATTTGTTAAACCGATAATGTATGCGCAAAGAGTATAGAAGAAGGTCTTCTATACTCTTTGGTATGCCTTTCACTGCACGGCGGCAGGTCATAAAACAAGTCTTACCTTATGTTGATACAAAAGTGCTGCAGATGTACAGAATTAGGTCTCAGAAGTATCCAATAAGTACCCGTTCCCACAATACGCGTGTTTGCGTTCCACTGCGCTGTTTTATCTATTTATTAAATAGTTGTCTGCGTAAACATGCGACATGTGCGTCTCGCTGCTCTTCAGCGTCTTACGTCACACGCGATGCATTTTTAAAATGCGGAGTTGTTCAACTTGCTTAAAATAAACGGAAGGGAAATTGCCCAGCCCGTGCTGTTAATGTTAGTCAACTAAAATTAATGCGAGTATGCTATTTGCATGCAGATATTAACAGTAATTTAAGTACATTAAATTAGGTATTTTTGTTATACCATCTACAACAGTAAAAGAACCAAAACCCCAGAAGACATTGAGCAAATAAATATAACAAACAATAGGGTAAAAATGACAAACTATTTTCATGTCTTCAACCTTTTTTATGTAG